GACGTGTCCTTAATGTCCTCGTGAGGACGGATGTGTGCGGCTGCCTCTCGGTTTATCACAGTCTAAGAATATGACTGAAGTCAGCAGGACTCTTTTAGATCCGAGTCCATAAAGAGCCTCTGAAACCGGACCTCGTGCTCCGCTTCCCCTCAGCGCTTCGCTCACAATGAAATCCATGAATAAAGTCCGAGTTCAAAGTGGAAAAAGTTGCAGATGGTCGGTTTGTTCGGCTGCAGTTCCTCTGATGTCCACCAGGCTGCAAGTGTCCCACCACATTGTGACCGGTAACTTTTGTTGAAGTGAAAACACACTAAATGGCTAAAGTTGAAAGACTTCCAGACCTGTCAATCAGCGTTAGGCCCCGCCCTAAAGCGTCCCCTGCTTTATGGTCAGTTTGACTCTAAATGGACCATCAGTCACTGAACGGACATCCTCTCTGTTGAAGAAGACGTTCACAGTGTTTACTGAGGGTCACTGAGCAGCAGCTGTCTGGGGGTCACAAATACAGACAGACTCAGCCCACCGGTATTTCCCATCATGCACCTGGTGCTGCATGTCATCAGCAGCTGAGAGAGACGCCAGAGCCTCTCAGGTTGAAACACAGTGAAAGAAGTCTGCTCTTTATTTACCGTTATCATTCATTATCATTAAGGTTGAATCTGATGATAATAATAATCTTCCTGTTGAGTTAACAGGAATCTCGTTAATGGAGTTCTGACGTGTGTATTTTGACGAGCTGGTCCATGTAATCTTACTACTTTGTGATCCACCAGTACTCCCAGTGGTACCATGAAGTACCCCCGAGTACAAGTACATGACGATTGTAAGAGAAGAAGAAGACGTTGAAGCCTCCTTTCACATCTCTGCATGTGTTCTTCTTCTGAGATGAAGATGAATGAAGAGTCAGTGATGGCGATGTGCAGCTCGTCTATTTACGTTCTCCAGTGGGACGTTAGCGCTCAACACAGACATCAGGGGGTCTTGGCTTCTCATTCAGGTTCCCAAGAGGAGCTCCCCTTCATCTCTGAGTCTGCCAGATGAACTTACTTTGTGTGATCGGCAGCTGGGGGGCCGTGGAGCGCTCTGCTTCATGCTAATCTCCCTGCGCTGCACTACTATTACTCCTAAATCCATTCTACTTTATGGTATTAATACCTTTACAGGTACTTTATGGTAATCTGTTGAAGTTAATGGTACTTTTTTATCTTCATGGTCTTCTGTGTTGCTCGGTGGAAGTTGTTGGAACTGGATCTCTTGGGGGTTCTTTTGGTTCTCGGGTAGTTCAGTGTACTTGGTCTTCTTTGATACCCCCTCCTGATGGGGAAGTCGCTGCATTACCTCCTGGTGGTTCTGAGTGATCTTCCACGTACCCTTTGTTGTGTTGGTGCTCCTTGGTTCCCCCAGACTCCCCAGTCTCTCCGTCAGCTTTGGTCAGCTGAAAGATCAGCCATCTGACACCGCGGCACAAATGTTCCTCTGGATTTAAACCCTCTGCTCTAAAAATAATCTCATCGGGGCTCGCCTACTTGAGTTAAATCTGCCCAGAGAGCAGAGGATAGATGTGTAGGAGATGGTTTATGAAATGACTCCTACTGACCGTCTCCACCCGGTTGTTGGTTTGGGAATCAGTCAGTTATAAAGTGGTGACCTGATGTCGTCACAGGATCATCACATCATTATAAAACCATATCTCATTACCATCTATCCAAAAAGCTGGTTGGTGGCACTACAGGAGAAGACAGAAAGGTTCATTCTCTGGGGAACATGACAATCTGATCCATCGTATAGTTGTTGAATCATAAACCTGCTTCCTGCCCACGTAACGGATCCATTCAGTCATTGAGAAGTGAAGGTGTCATTAGATAAAGAGATACAAGATAATAAATCAGGTCCAACTGAAGAGATTCAGCAACCTGAGGTTCAACTTCCTGAAGAGAAACGACGGGGCGAGGAACCCGAAGGCCACCAGGTGCCAGCTGCAACAGGTGGACCTGAACAAGGAGAAGCTGCAGGTGAGTCTGAAGGTCTGTGGTGTTCCACCTCACGTGCGCTGAGCAACTGATGCAATGACCCATAATAGTAATTCTCTTTATTTGTTTAGTAGAAGGGTTTGTTTGTCACAGGTGTTTAAATATACATTAGAGGTGGAATAAATAATGGGATTAGAAGCTTTCAGTGGCATTCAAAGAATGAAAAAAATTGGAAATAATTTACAATGACATGTAAATGTACAGAAGAATGTAGCATTTCCTCTGAAGTTAAACCAGACTCAAAGATCTCTGACAGCGGTGCACGTGAACCCTTTTCATCCTGTAGGATGAAGGTCTGAGAAGGTGAGATGCAGCTGAGTGTTTAGTCAGGGACATTTAAAGTATGTTAGATATACAAGGAACTTGACATGGTGAGCGCATAACATTGGACAACAAGACAAATATACACAGTGCAGAAAATATAACATCTTCAATATACAATAAAATACAGAAGAATATAAAATTAAATGAAAAATAAAGTGCACAGGCAAACAGATGCTCAACTACACTCAACACAAGTGTATTGAAAGTGATCAAGTGTATTTACAACCCTCACCGACCCCCTCCTGGACCCCCTGCAGTTCGCCTACAGAGCCAACAGGTCTGTGGACGATGCTGTCAACATGGTCCTCCACTACATCCTCCAGCATCTGGACTCCCCAGGAACCTACGCCAGGATCCTGTTTGTGGACTTCAGCTCTGCTTTCAACACCATCATCCCGTCTCTGCTGCAGGACAAACTCTCCCAGCTGCACCGCCCGACTCCACCTGCAAGTGGATCACAGACTTCCTGTCTGACAGGTGACTCCATCACCAAGAAGGCTCAGCAGAGGTTGTTCTTCCTGAGGCAGCTGAAGAAACTCAACCTGCCAAAGACGATGATGGTCCACTTCTACACGGCCATCATGGAGTCCGTCCTCTGCTCCTCCATCAGCGTCTGGTACGCTGCAGCCACAGCCAAGGACAAGGGCAGGCTGCAGCGTGTCCTCCGCTCTGCAGAGAGGGTGATCGGCTGCAATCTGCCGTCCCTGCAGGACTTGTTCACTTCCAGGTCTCTGAAGCAGCTAAAAAGATCGTGGCCGACCCCTCTCACCCTGGACAAAAATTGTTTGTGCCCCTTCCATCTGGCAGGAGGCTGAGGTCCATCAGGACAGAGCCGGTCCCCCACTGACATAACACCTGCCATCTTAAAACGGCAAAGTAACAACTCAAATTATTTAATAATAGATTATAACAATAAATGGAAAGATCAGGAAGCCGTTCAGATGAAGACTTAGTTTAGTATTTGGGAGTGATTACAAGAGCTTCTTTTACGTCATTCCGTTTCTGAAGTCAAAATTATATAAAGTCAAAATAATCCCAAAAAGACAGCCATATGTGTGAAAACCGGACCCACGTTAATGTTTTACAGAATAATCTACCTAAAATATATAATTCTATTTATCATATAAAACGTGTTACATTAGGTAAAGTAATTCAGATTAAATGCCTATTATGTTCCCTATTATTCATAGCTTATATACTTTGATTTATTTCCCTACCTTTTATATTTTACAACATTTTATTTTCATAATTTATTTCCCTACTTGGGCACGTGGCCGTGGTTTGGTGACCTCATCACGCAGCACGTGACTGCGTGTTTAGGTCACGTTTGCTCCGCGAATTTTAGCGAAAGTCCAGACATATTTTTTCCAGCTGTTATTTAGCAGCAGTGTACCTCGTTATGTCTGCGTTCAGATGGATACAATGCTGATATGATTTAAGACAAATGTTTAAATCCAGTATTTCTACAAGCTCCGCTGCCCTGACTAGCTAGCGCAGTCGGTGGGAGCTAATTAGCTAACGTTAGCTCAAAGTTAGCATCGCCCACGACAGGAAAGTGCCTTCAGACCACGACCTACAGATAAAACCAGAACCCATTTTCCACTGAGGCTCAATGACTCGAGACAGAGGACAGACACACGCGCCAGGTTCTCAATAAGGTTGGGAAAAGACCTTCAGGCAAACCCAGAATGATTCATTTAAAGGTGTTTCCAGAACCCGTCCAACGCCAGAGGCGACTGGTCCACGTCCTAAACACCAACTGACATCTGGAGAAGAAACTGACCAGCGACCACTTTTCGCACCCGGTGTCACTCTGATTTGTGTTGCGTGTCTGCCGGCGCATCGCGGAGAAAACCAATCGGCCGTCTGGATGCTAAATGTTTACACTGCTCATCCAACCACAATCAAAGTCACTCCATCCGGATGGCGCCATTTACCTGGACGGGTTTTTTTTGTGTGCGTGTTTTAACGACGACAAGCCGGAAAATGTACCGAGTAGAAGTAAAAAGTCGTCTGAAAAATAAATACGCCAGTAAAGTATAGATACCCAAAATTTCTACCTAAAGGTAATGAAGTATTTGTACGTTCCTTGACACCTCTGGGTAAGAAGATATATTAAGTTATTATTGGCTCTAAAGAAAATAACCTATTTTTAGTTTTAAGATTTTAGTTTGGTAATGTCATCGAATTATACTACTAACGTTAGTCCTTATAACTCCAACATATGTGTGTGCGTTCTGTTAGTATGTAACTTTAGCTATATTTGCTAACATGCCACTCACTTTGGGGCTAAGCCCAGTATCAGCGGTATGAGTACACACGTGTATCTTTACTAAAAGTACACAAGTATTATCTGCTTAATAAGTAGTATGTACTAATACCTCACGTTAATATACTTTGTTACAGTAAAAGTACTATTACCACACTATAAATACTACGTTACCTTAAAAGTACTAATACCACACTTCATAAATACTGTGTTACAGTAAAAGTACTAACTGGCAACTCTGTTAATTAAAGGTATGATTAACAAAGAGTTGCATAAAACCGCTCCCTGAACCCCCCATGATGCCCCACAGGCGGCCCCGCCTCCCACGTGATGTCACGGCGGTATAAAGGCAACCCGCCCGGGGGAGTCAGCGTTCC